CTGCTCCAGGCCCATAGGGATGAGCCCCAAGGAATGGCACGCAGTGCAGTACGGGGTGGGCTATTCTTCTTGGGGAGGAGCGGGACTGCAGCCCCGGCCCAATCCCTGCCAGCCCCAGACAGGGGCAAGGCTCTTGCTCACAGGGGTGGGGATGCTGAATGAGGAGATGGCCCCCGGGTGCTGGAGTCGGCCCAGTGGGCATGCTATGTCCAGGGGGCCGCTGGGCCCGTCCTGGCCAGCTGGACCCAGGGCTGTGATGGGCCGTGGAGGGAGCAGGGCCGCACCTAAAGCAGGAAGTGGGAGCCGGGAGTCCTGGGCTGCACGTGCCACTCCGCCAGGCACTCTCCTGCTCGCCATCCTGGGCTCAGGTGCCCCACCGCTGCTCGGACTTCCTCCTCAGCCGAGAGGGGCACTAAAATAAAGAGGAGCGTCTTGAGGGGCACCAGTCCCACCAGCTCTGGGCTACAGGGACTCTGCAGGGATGGGGCTCCTCCCAGTCTGATCTGCACAAACCAGACGGTGTGACTTGGACAGCCCCTCACCTGCCCCACACATACATGCACGCACGCACGCACACGTACGCAGACAGACAGACAGACACACACACACACACACACACACACACACGACTGCAGACTTCAGGAAAGTTTGCAGGCTGGATACTGAACAGGGAATAAATAAAGGGAAGTGCAGCCCTGGCCTTCAAATCACAGGGACCAAGGTGGTGGCTGGCACCAGCCTGGCCACCCCCTGTCCTCTGTGGGCAGTTAGTGTGGTTACATAAAGCCAATACACAGGCCCTCTGGGGGAAAGGGCACGGGCTCCCATGTGCTCTGTGGATGAAGGCCACCCTGTGCCTGCTCCCAGGGACACTGCCAACCGGCAAGCTCCAGCCCACAGCACCCAACTCTCTGCTTAGCACCAACAGGGGCATCTTCTCACCTAATCCCTTCCGAGGCCCCCCAGGTAGACCTCAACACCAGTTTTCAGCCCAGAATCTGGGCTCAAAGGAAGTGACCTGTCCAAAGGTCACCTGCCGTGATGGGTAGCAGCATCAGGCTTAACTGCACATCTATTTAACCCCAAAGCTTACAGCTCAGTACAGTTCCCAAGCCCCCTCCCCACCTGCCTGACTGTCTGCCCCTAGACCTCTGGTGCCACATGCCCCATTTTATCTTCTTCCCAGCAGTTGATATAACCTCTCTCCTGTCTGCCTCTGGCTGGGAGGGAGAGCTTGTCAGAAGTACAGACTCATGTGGCCTGTTCACCACCCACACCCATGACCAGCTAGAACCCAAGCTTGTCCATCTGCAGTGGTTCTCAACCTTCTGGCCCTTTAAATACAGTTCCTCATGTTGTGACCCAACCATAAAATTATTTTCGTTGCTACTTCATAACTATAATGTTGCTACTGTTATGAATCGTCATGTAAATATCCGATATGCAGGATGGTCTTAGGCGACCCCTGTGAAAGGGTAGTTTGACCGCCAAAGGGGTCGTGACCCACAGGTTGAGAACCGCTGGTTTAGTGAGTCAGACACTGAACATCTGCAGAGCACCAGGCCTGCAGGATGGATGCAACACTCCCTCCCTCCTGGGCAAGTTGGGGCAAGGATGGGGAGTAGTGAAAAGGCTCTGCAGAGGAAAAAAGGGAAGGTGGGCGGGAAGTCAGGGGAGAGGCATTTTAGAGAATGTCCCCAAGAAGGTGCAGTAGAGGTCGGGGCGCCTCCTGTATAGGACAGCTGGCTGGCTGACCTCCCAGTGGGGGCTCTTTAAGGCCACAGGGACTACAGCGGGCAGTTCAGGGGAGGGGGAGTGACCTAGGAGACAAGGGCAACCAGCACAGCCAGCACACTCTCTTCCTGCTCATCACTCTGCACCCTGTGTGGGCGGCCCAGCTCCCTCAGGTCCAGCTTGTCAGCGCCCTTCTGGCCGGGGACTTGGCAGGCTGCCCGTGCCCACTGGCTCAGGGCACGCTGAAGACGGAGGCGAGGCCTCCTGGGAGTTTTACGGGCTCTGTACTCTTTCCCACACCCTTCCCCAGCAGGCGGGACATGGAGAGGAAGGTGATAGTTTCTCTAGGTAGGAGGGTGGGGAGCACCCTGGGCCATTCCCGCCCCAAGCTACCTGACTGGGTGACCAGGGGTAGCTACACACCTGTACCTAATTTCTTCCCCTCGGGGGTGGGGGCTGTGAAGACCAAGGTCCAGGGGACAAGGCAGTGTCAGCACAGCCTTGGTCCCAGGGAGCAGCCCTGAAAGCCGCTCACTCACCCCCCTCCCCAGGAGGCACCGGTGACTGGCCTAGAACGTTTTCCTCTCTAGGATGGAGCCCCAAAGTGTCAACTCAGCTCAGAAGGGCCCCCAAAGGATGCCTCCACCTGTGGCATTTGAGGCCTGTAACTGAGGGAGAGGGGCAGGCGGAGGGAC